CACCACCTTCTCACTTAACTTGATCTTGTGTGTGTGTGTGTGTGTGTGTGTGTTGTTGTGTGCGTTTGGGGGCTGTTTGTGTGTGGGTGTGGGGGTGGTGTGTGATGGTGTGTGTATGTAATGGTGGGTGGTGGTTGTGGGGGGGGGGAAGGATGGGGATGGAGGGGGGAAGGATGGGGATGGAGGAGGAGGAAGGGGGATAGGACAGAGGAAGGATGGAGAGAATGTACACCAGAACGCAGGCGACATATGGCCGAGCTCGGCTGCCTGCCTCCGGGGGTGTCACATGACCTCCTTGGGGCATGGGCAGCAGTTAGGAGAGAAAGAGGGGGGGGGGAGGTGACACGTGGAGTGGACAGGGGGGGGGGCACGTGGAGTGGGTAGGGGGGGCGGGGAAGGGCACAAACTGGTGCCTCTTGACACATGACCGCCCAGATGTTGAAACCTAACATGTGACCACATACCTGACTTCTGCGAGTTTTTTTTTTTTTACAGGATAAAAAAAAAACTGTATGAATGTGGACTTTTAGTCTTAAATCTAACAACCTGCTGAGTTGTTCATCCTGTCCCTTGTACCCAGACACGGCTGGGACTGGCCGTCCCGACTCGAGTAAACAGCTTATGAAACAAGAAGATTAACATTAACCAATCCTTAAACTTACGTCATCTTACAAGGGGGGGGGGAGGGGGGGGGGAGGGGGGGGACTAAGTGAGGGGTGGGGGGAGGGGGGGGAATCTTTTAAGAACAATATATAATATATAGTTGACAAATAATGTTTTTCCTAGCGCAATGTAGATTTTATTATGCAACTAATATTGATAATATTTCTTACATGGGCACAATCAGCTAATGTCAAGATGGTGATCGTCCTTCACTTATGAATAAAGCACAAGTGCTTTAAGAGTTATCTAGCTGAAGCTAAACATATCTAGCTAAAGCTAGATAAAGCAACATCAGAATGCAGCACATTAGGGGGCTAAAAATATCTGTACATAAATCTAAGGCAATGAGACTAGGTGGCAACACTCCAGACAGGCATCTACGCATTCAAGACATTACCCTTCAGTGGGTTACACAACATCTCGGAGTGTGGAGATTATAAAATGACATTCAACAAGCAAATTCAATATCTGAAGGAGGAAGCAAAATCGCGACTGAATATAATGAGAGCAATCACAGGGCCCCGTCTAGGAGTGAACGACATGGAAGAAAATGCAGAATAGAACCAGTGAGGAGCAGAGGTGCCATAGGCACAATCAGAGAACACTGTATAAACATCAGAGGTCCACGGTTGTTCCTTGGTTGATTATGCAGCACTTGCCCTCCTCACTCTTCCTCCTGGCTAGTTGTGGGTATTCAAAATAATGCAATGCGAGTCATAACAGGAGCTCCCAGATGGATTAAAATATTAAACCCAAGACTGGAAATCAAATTAGCATCGGTTGAATTTAAGGGTAAAAGGGGATTGCTGCCTGCATGCTGGCCAAGGTATTAACTAATGATAGATTGACGCAGATTAAGCCACCCAAAAGGTGGCACGGGCATGAATAGCCCGTAAGTGGTGGCCCTTTTGAGCCATTACCAGTATCAGGAGCTGATACTGGAGATCTGTGGAGGTGCGACTGCACCCTGCGTGACGGGAGATGTCTCCCGTGGTATTAACTAGACCAAGAATCAGTTCATTTTACGATATAATCACTAGAACACTAACTTGGGACATGAGAGCCTTAAAACATATTATAGCTGTAGTTATTCTCATCACAAGCAAGGAGAAAATGAATATGCTTTCGTCATGTTTGTGCAGGGAGTGAAACAGAGTTCGTTACATTTCCTTGCAACGAGTTTAATGGACTGTTCACATGCAGGCGATCCGTCACAATAACGTGGCTGAAGTAGTTTGGCCAGACCACACACTAGAAGGTGAAGGGACGACGACGTTTCGGTCCGTTGTGCACCATTCTCAAGGCGGTCAAGGACTGTTCAATTTTTCCAAAAGTGGAGGCTTGTATGGGGTCATAACCTCCATATTCCACTTGTGTTCCAGTCGGAAATTTAATGTTAGCAACTGCATTCAAAAGCCTGTTTAATAATTTGGAATTTTACACTCCTCCTCCTCGAGGTGTCCCAAGTTCCGTATTCACTGCTCTTCACACTGGTCCATTGTTGCAGAACTTGGATTTCCGTTTCTTTGATTTAGTCTTTAACCTAATTTCCACGTCTTCCCTTGACAGCAGTGCATACAAGCCCATCTTAAACTGCAATCTCTTGTGCCTTATCAAGAGGCTCATTTGTTGGCAACAAAAACAAGGGAATTAGCTTATTCACCAGCTAACTAACTATATAATTGGCTGTTCTCCATCCTTCAACAAATCCGTTGATCCCTTCCTCTTGTCTGTTTCATGCCATCGATGTTTTAATATGATCTTTTCAGCATCTTGTATACGCAAAATATGAGGCTAAATGGTCTGTAATTTCCTGGATCCTTTGGTTTCGGCGTGTAGACGATTGTAGCGGGCAACACTCCACTTAGGACATGATTTACTTAAAAGATCAAGTAATAGATTCTGCGACCCCCAACGCAGGGAATTATGTCCTTAACGACCCCCGTGACTTCACCGGGCGCAGTACTGTTGACTTTTTTCACGGCCCGCCTTACATGGGCTGTAATTGGTTGCCCATACTCATCACTAGACTGGGCTTTTGCTATTAAATTTGTGTCATTATACCACGCGAGGTTGTTCCCTATTTATTTCTATAGGGAGGGTGGGAGGAGCACTCCAAATGTGTATTAGTTTTTCAGCTTTGCCAAATGATGTGTGCGCGTAGCAGACAGATTCTTCTTTCCTTAACTATCTTGAGGTGATTTCGGGGCTTAGCGTCCCCGAGGTCCTCGAGGACCAGGCCTTTTTGTTACACATTCCCAGGAAGCAGCCCGTAGCAGCTGTCTAACTCCCAGGTACCTATTCTACTGCTAGGTGAACAGGGGGGCCATCAGAGTGAAAGAAACTCGGTCCATTTGTTTTCGCCTCCGCCGGGGATCGAATCCGGCCCATTCAGACTACGAACCCGAGCGCTGTCATCTCAGCTGTCAGGCCCCATCCTGACTATCTGTAGCTATCTGTAATTTTTGCCCATACTTATTTTTCTCGTTCTTTTAACCTTCTCTTCCATGGCTACTTGACACAGTTTTAAGCAACTCTTGGTTACTTTCAATGGGATTTCTCCAGTATGGGCTCACCATAGCCCGTGCTACTTTGAACTTTTTGTTCCAGGTAGCGAGTCAAAACAACAACAACATTCTCCAGTACTCTCTACCCATGTTCCATACTCATGTTCCATACTACTCATGTTCCATACTACCCATGTTCCATACTCATGTTCCATACTACCCATGTTCCATACTACCCATGTTCCATACTCATGTTCCATACTCATGTTCCATACTCATGTTCCATACTACTCATGTTCCATACTACTCATGTTCCATACTACTCATGTTCCATACTACCCATGTTCCATACTACTCATGTTCCATACTACTCATGTTCCATACTACTCATGTTCCATACTACCCATGTTCCATACTACTCATGTTCCATACTACTCATGTTCCATACTACTCATGTTCCATACTACTCATGTTCCATACTACCCATGTTCCATACTCATGTTCCATACTAATGTTCCATACTACTCATGTTCCATACTACTCATGTTCCATACTACCCATGTTCCATACTACTCATGTTCCATACTACTAATGTTCCATACTAATGTTCCATACTACTCATGTTCCATACTACCCATGTTCCATACTACTCATGTTCCATACTACTCATGTTCCATACTACTCATGTTCCATACTACTCATGTTCCATACTACTCATGTTCCATACTACCCATGTTCCATACTACTAATGTTCCATACTAATGTTCCATACTACTCATGTTCCATACTAATGTTCCATACTACTCATGTTCCATACTACTCATGTTCCACCTTTATGTAATCATTTTCATACCATTAAATATCTGAAGACAATTCCAGTTTGGCAGTAGCTAGGATGCTGCTTTTGGAAAATTTTCCTTTTTAAGATCACTCAATAGCTCAGTCGATAGAGCTTCAGCCTCTCACACGCTAGTGGGGGTCCCCGGTTCGAGTCTTCCAGAGTCCAGGAGCCAGATTCACGAAAGCACTTACGCAAACACTTACGAACGTGTACATCTTTCCTCAATCTTTGGCGACTTTGTTTACAATTATTAAACAGTTAATGAGCACTGAAGCACCAGGAGGCTGTTTATAACAATAACAATAGTTGATTGGCAAGTTTTCATGCTTGTAAACTGTTTAATAAATGTAACCAAAGCCGTCAAAGATTGAGGAAAGATGTACACGTTCGTAAGTACTTGCGTAAGTGCTTTCGTGAATCTGGCCCCAGGTGAATGGAATTGTCATACCTGGTTGATACCTGGTTGATGGGGTTCTGGGAGTTCTTCTACTCCCCAAGCCCGGCCCGAGGCCAGGCTCGACTTGTGAGAGTCGAGTCATACCATTATTGGTTGGAGAGTTACTTTGTCCATTCGTATGCCACGAAACTCGTAATTTAGTTACTTTGTACATACTTTGTTACTTTGTTACTTTGTTACTTTGTACACTAAGGCCAATAAAGTTATCAGTGTCTTTAGGACCACTGATAAATTTGTCCTAAGATAAAGATTAAGATAAAGGCCCCTTTGTTAACGGATCTTTATCTTAAGCAAGACTTCTTGCTTAAGTCGATGGTGATAAGAAGCTGTGAACGATGTGCATATTGGCATCCCTATCGAGATCCTTCATCAGGTGCCAGATTCACGAAGCAGTTACGCAAGTACTTAAGATACGCAAGTATACATCTTTTCTCAATCTCTGGGGGGCTTTGTTTACAATTATTAAACAATGAATGAGTTCCGTAGCACCAGGAGGCTGTTTATGACAATAACAACAGTTGATTGGGAACAG